AAAAAAAAAAAAAAAAAAGAAAAAAGGGAAACGACGTCGTGGAACGTCGGAAACGCAACCACGTGTTTGGCAACCCTCGCGTCAGTCGAGTAAGGCGCGTGTTGACGCGTCGCAGCGTGCGCTGGCGCATGCGATCGATACTCTAGACCGCCGGGGTTTTCGCGTCCCCGCGCGACGTCACGATACACGAGCCGAGCAACACCGACCGAGGACGAGGCCGACCGAGACCGGCCGAGATAGCGCGAGCCGTGGTAGCAGCAGCCGTCGACGCGAGCACGGCCCCAACCGTCACCGTCGTTTCGACGTCGTGGACACTTTCTTGCCGCCGGATCGTCCACGCGGAAATCGTTCGTTCACATCGCGAGCCAGCCTCGACGTGTTAGATTGTACCTTTTGTCAACCATCGTTTGCGATCGATCGCTCGCTCGCGGTGAAGTAGGTGAGCCGCGCGCGAAAAGTGATCACCAGTGGTGTGTTGGTCTTTTGACTGGAAAGGTCCCGGTACGAAGATTCCGGATCGAACGGAGGATCGAGTAAGTTTCGAGGAATGACGCGGTTCACCCTTGACTCTCTGTCCGTACGGTGTCTGTTCGTGTCTTCGTGTCCTTTAGACTGCAGCTGGTCGCACAGGATGGTCTTTGCTCTTCGTTGTCTCATTCACAGCATCGAACTGTCTCGAAAAATAACGCCGCGACAGCGTTACGATACTCGGACGAGACGCGTCAGTGGCGTTCGACTCTCGGTCTGACTCGTGACGGCCGCATTCTACTTGTCGCGTATATTACATTTCTTTGCGCATTAGCCTTGGTCAAAGTACAGGGCAAGATCGAAGGGGAAATTACAGAGATGGTTCGTTAGAGAGCATTTTCTATAGAGGCATAGAGGGATAAAGAGAAACGGTCGAGTGGCCTGTGGCGTGTCTGACCAGAGACAAGCCGCAACCCCTTTGGGTCGCAGCGCAGCTGAGCTCGACCGGGCGCGACCCACAACCCTACATTCGCGGTCTGCGGCGTGACCTAACCTCAACTGGTCCCCACCTTGTGCGAGTTTGCGTTGCCACCCTCTCTCCTCTACGAAAGTAGAGGCGGAACGTCAGTGAGGATTTTACGCACCGGTTTATCGTTTCATTTCACGACAGTAGCCGTGTCGATTCTTCTCGCGTCGCAACGCGTTCTCTTCCGCCGTTTCTTTCCGCGGCCGAGTAACTACGAGGTTCTCCTAGGTCAGAGACATGTCACGTTCTGCGCTAGCCACTCAAGGTAACGATGCAGAGCAGCCATAACTTCCCGAATGGTCGGATTTGACCTTGGCAGAGAGAAGTTCCGCGTCTATCACTATCAACGGTCCGCGTCTTCCGCCGGTGACGCGTTAATTAATGACCATCGATTTAACGAAACGAGGCTGACCTTGCTATTATTTCGACCATCGTCGTGCCAACGTTCGATCGCGCGAACTTTTTACACCGCTAATGTCGAAAAATATTTGAGTAAATATTTCCAATTCCATGCTAAAATTTGACAGAAATTTTCGCTGACACGGTTTAATTAATAACGATTTCATTAATCCGCTCGAGCAAGAAATGTAAACTTAGCAAGATATTGACGAAACGTTGGTTAGAGCACGCGGGACAATAGAGGAACATGTGTCATTGTGTCAAAATATGTCGGTTCGTTAAATTTAAATTGAATTAACCGCCGGTGAAAAATTGAATTTACATATTGCATAGCTGTGTCATATCGTAAGCTGTGAAATCCTTTATCGAATAGTTTCTTCTTTTCGCGCGTGTACGTATTCCGTACGTAAAAAAAAAACATATACGTGGGCATTTTCGCGTGACGAGCTATTTCGATCGTTGATCTGTTCCATCACATACTTAAACATCATCCGTCTGTCTTACACTCACCGTGCTTTCAAAAGGAAATTAATAATAAAGAATTCAAGCGAGAAGGAGAAACAAATCCGGACTGAGCGTCTGGAAGCTTCGTTCGCATTTGAATCGATCGCGCTAACCCTTCACCCTTTGTTTACAGGCAGTCGAAACCGTTGTTCATCAAGCGCGTCAACTTCAGCCGCCACTCTCTCGCTACTTCCGCTGGTCCATCGCCGGTTCTGTCGCCTCTAGCCAGCCAATCGCCTTCCGTGCCAATAACCTATTAAAAAAAAAAAAGAACCAATCGAAGAGAAAATCCTCCTTTACAAAAAAAAAGGAATAAAAATAAAATAAAATAAAACAGACGGCAGGAGAGGGAAATTGAAGCAAAGAGAAGAGAACAGAAGAAAAGGGAAGGGAAGAGGAAAGAAGAGAGCTCGAAAGAGAAGAAAGGAGAAAGGGGAGAGGGTGGTGCGTAGTGGAAGCAGAAGAGTTGGGTCGTGAGGGGTCCAAGAAGCGTAGCGTTTGGGTGTGATGTGGTGGAGCCCCCCGGGGGGCCGCGAGGGCAGGAGGTTCGAGGCAGATCGGTCGTGAGGGCCCCAGGTACGGCTCGGTTGCCCTGTGACGAGGTCGCCGGAGGGGCGGGGGAGGAGGTAGGATGGTGTGACCTCCGGCGTTATCCCGCCCGACACGAAGGTGGTGCTGGCGGTGACGAAGGCGGTGGTGGAGGAGGTGGCGGTGGAGCCGAGCAGCTGCTGCTCGACTCGCAGGAGGAGGAGCCGACGGCGATGTCGAAACAGCTTTGCGGTGAACAGGACCACGTGAGCCGTTGCGACCTCCGAGAAAGCGACCTCCGAGAAAGCGACCTCCGAGAAAGCGACCTCCGCGACTTTCGGGACCTACACGAGATCAAGGATCCCCGGGACTTTCGAGACTTCCGGGACGTCCGCGAGATCAAGGACGACAAGGACGACAAGGACGACAAGAACAACCCGGAGAGGAGTCGGGACGATTACTTGAATTACGATCATCATCATCCTACCGCTGCGTCTACCTCAGCATTCATCAACAATCCGGTAAGTCGATCTAACGTATTTCTCTGTGTTCTCGTGTCTCGTGGAACGAAAAAAAAAAAAAAAGAAAGAAAGAGAAAGAAAGAAAAGAAAAATAAAGGAGCGAATTTCACTCGTCTTCAGAAACGTTCGCACGCAGCTAACTAACGAAATTAATTGAGAATTTAGAATGGTAGCTTTAGAAAGGTCCGCGAGCATGGTCGTTGCGATAGGTTCGAAGAAGCTTGGAAAGAAAAAGGTCCACTTGAGACGAAGGTCAAGGTGTTTGATACCACTGTCGCTTGGAAAGTGATAAGCAGCGGGTATCATTATTACAGGAGTAGACTTGAAGGAGCTTATGAATACGAAGCGTGGGACGAGGTACTCCAGTTTGTATATCAAGGTCAAGGTTTTTTGGTACCATTTCGTAAGAAAGGAATCGAGTCTTTTAGAGTGGTCCGGCGGAAATGCAAGCTCGAAATTGAATAATTCCCTCTCGGACGATCGAACCCGCAAACGACGAATTTTTCCATTCGACGAGTCGGAATCGATTTTGTGAACTTCTTCCACAAAGTTTAACGCAACATTGAAGGATACGAATAATAAAGTCTGCGATACATACTATGCACTATATACAACGATAGAGAGGACGATGTCGAGTTTTTCGACCACACTCTCGGTCTTATCTATTATCTGCCCCGGTGGGGGCAGAAAGTGTTTGATTTTCCGTTATCTCTCGTTTATCCGACATCGGAATTTTTCCGAATTTCGGGAGAAGATTTCGATGCAGTACGTCGAAAGGTATCTTGCTTATACGTACACACACACATTCTAACGTTATCGCCGTGCAACATAGAGGACACACGTCACTAAGCTAAAGGCTATTCGTCGCACCGTTGAAATTTACGTTTGATTGAATCCCCTGACGACGTTTCTATCCACGTTTTACGTCGTTCAAATACGGTGATGGATGTTGCACAACGTGTCGTCACGTATGAAAATCTCAGGAAGTAATATCCTCGGATATGGGATGCTTTGTACAAACCAGCGGGAAACACGCAAAAACTCGTAAAAGGAGGATAGCGGCGGAAACGGTCGCCTGAAAATACTTCTCTCTTTAATACTTCTCCCGGGGCATTGCACAACGTTACGCTACCTTACGCTCGCGCAGCAGCGCGTTTCTCGCGGCTATAACAGTATCAACCTCGGTGTTCGCAGATCGAAACGAATTCTATTTTCCATACTGCGATTACTCCGCAACTAATCTCTCTACAATTCTAACACTATCGCCACGGTTGCGTTGCGTTAAACTTACGCAATAACGCGCACCGTGATCATTTATAACATTATCCAGTCGGCGTTAATTTGCCGTCGAGAAACCAGAGCGCGAAGAATGAAAAAAGAAATGTTACGCCTACTTTTCACGCGGGGAACTTTCACCCAGAGAAAGAGAGGAGAGTCTAATTTATTCCGACTATGGCGATTCGCGTGAGAAAGAATTGCGGATACACAGTCCAGCGGAGGAAAATGAAAGATGAACGGTACGGTGTCTGATCAAAGCTCGCCTCCTCTCGGCCTGTTTCCACGTCGTCCCTGATATCCAACGCTATTCCAGTGACCAAGCTCTTCATTTAGCGCTTCTGCATCTTTCATAGAGGGGAGCACAGCTATAGTATAGCTAGACACCGCAGCAGCATCGTTGGTGCCCTTCATTTGCAGCTGCATTCAGCTTGGGCTTCGCTTGGCTTTCTC